ATTACAGGTGTGCACCACCAGGCCCTGCTTACCTGCACATAATAGATGTATCTTGATTCCTTTTCTGTACTTTTTTTTGGTAAATGCAGGTAACAAGCCTGGCTCAGCTGACCGTTTTGACTGGGCTTATTTTTGGACATTGTACTCAGGTTGTCGAGCTGTGGGTTTAATATAGCAGTTTAGTAATTTTTACAATCAGGTAGTGTAAGTCCTCCAACACTGATGTTTTTCAAAATTGTTTTGGAACCATTTTGGGTGCACTTTTGTTACTTTTTATCCTTTTTTCTTTGTTTGGTCCAAATTTGCTCTACATAGTTCTTCCCTTACACTTTCACCCCTCATTTTCTTTCTTTTTTTTTTGTCTTTTTGAGACAGGGTCTCACTATGTCGTTCAGGCTGGCCTTGTGCTCACTTACCCAGGCTGGCCTCGAACTTGCAACGATCCTCCTGCCTCAGCCTTGAAAGTGCTGGGATTACAGGCATGTGCCACTGTACCCAGTGGCACCCCTCATTTTCAAAGAAACTTTGGGCACTGATTTTGGCATATCTCGTCCATTTCTTTGAGACAAGGAGGACCTGGAGTACTTTGGTGAGCCATTTCTGAAGCAACTGCCCAACAACACTATCTCTGGGCCCGCCTGTCCTCTAGGCTCCAGACTCCTACATCCAACCTGGCTGTGGCTCTAAACTCGGCCCCATAACAGACTTACTTCCCCACCCCTTGACAGCTGCATCACCCCTCAGCCTCCTGCCCCATCCGGCCACCAACAGACTCACAGCAACCCTCCTGCTTCCAGCTCCAAACAGAGCTCAGTCCCGTCCTCCCCTGCATCCTGCAGCGGCCTCCGATTCCAGCTCCTTCCTCGGTGGACTCCCTGGGTCTCCCAGCTTCTGCCTTCTTCGCCTCGCAGCCCTTCTCCAGCCGCAGACCGGTCATCATCGACTCCCCTGTTGCACCGGCCCCGGGCAGTCAGAGAAGAACCGGCCTTCTCCGCACAGCCCGCAAAGCCTCCATGCACAGGCCGCCGACGGGCAGCCGGCAGCGCTGGTCCACCCAGGAGAATGCTCGGAAGGTGTTAGGGGTGGGTGAGGACTGAGTTCTTAACGGTCCAGCCCGACCCTCCGAGGGGCAGACTAACGAGCTTCGAGAGGCTGCCCCGCCGGTCAGGAGGTGGGCACTCCGCACAACGCTTTCTTTCCGCGCAGCCTGCGGTAGGGTCCTCCACGCAGGACCCTAACTTCTGCTTTACAGAGCGGTGGGAAAAGCCAGACAGTCCTAATTCACATCCTAGCTCCTTTAACCAGTCTCTGCGACAGCTCGCCCACCTGCAAAATGGAAATACCACACGAACCACCTGCGGGTTACCCTGCGATGTGAGTCACAGACAGCCGTCGCAGTACTGGGCACACGGCAGGCGCTGCTGTCGCGCGCACTCTACAGAACCCACCGCGCTGGCGGCGGAGACGCGGCTCACGCGTGCAGCGGGGGGTTCCCGCTCGCCGGGGTGTGTGCAAACGCTGCGCGGCGACAAAGGTTCCCAGGACCCGCGGAGGTGTGGCCTAACTCTCAAAGTCCCTCCAGCCTCACGCGATCGCGCTCCTCACAGCCCCCGTCCGGACTTCGGGCGTCAGCCGTGGGGGGTGTGCGCCAGGCGTGCAGCCCGCGTGTCGGCACCGCCCGCCGCTGCTCAGTTAGACCCGAGCCAACGGCGAGGCGGCGCAGGGACGCCCCACCCCCTCCGGCGAGCGGTGGGCGGGACACGCAGGCGCCGCGCGCTGCCATTGGCTGCGCCAGGAGGAGGCGGGGTCACTGGCGTCGGCGGCCACTGTGCGTTGTCTTTAGGCGGCGGCTAGAGGACACGGGCAAGATGGCGGCGCTGTCGGCCCTGGTGCGGAGATCCGTACAGCAGGTAGGCGGCGGCGTGCGACCCCGCGACTCTGCGCGCCCCTTGCCCAGCTTGCGCCCATGCTGAGCGTCCTTCTGTCTCCTCGCCAGGTTTCGGGGCTGCTGAAGAGGCGCTTTCACCGGACCGCGCCCGCGACGCTGCAGGTAACGGGCGGGCACGGTCGTCAGCGCAGGTGGGACCCTTTGTGCCGGGCGGGGGCGGGCGAGGCCGGGATCGCGGCGCCGCTGAGGCTGCTCGGCGTCCCACGGAGGGGCGGGGCGCGGGCCCTGGAAGCTGCGACGCCCGGGTGTCGCGTGGGACTCCCGCTGCCTCGGCCGCCGCGTAGAACCAGTCACGGGCCAGCCGGGTGCGATCGGATGAGCCATCGAGGACAGCTGGCCGCTTCCTTCACTGGCCATGTACTGTATATGTGTCGAAAATTTTACTATTTTAAAGAGTTTAACTCAGTGGCGTGAAGTACATTAATCATGTCCAGCCATCACCACTGTCCACAATTTTTTTCATCAACCCAAACAGGAATTCTGCTCATTACACAGTAATACCTCACTCCCTTCCCCCAATCCCTGGCAACCTCTATGTCAAGTTTACCTATTCTCGAACCTCACATAAATGGAGCATTTGACCTTTTGTGTCTGGCTTGTTTCACTTAGCACAGTGTCTTCAAGTTTCATTCATGCGGTAGTGTGCATCAGAATTTGTTTTCTTTGAAAGGCTGTATAGCTTCCGATGTAAGTGTATTTATTCCACGTTGTGTTTACCCATTCATCCAAGGATGGACATTTGGGTTGTTTCTGAGGCTGCTATAAACATGTGCGTACAGGTGTGTCCGTTCCTCGTGGTGTGTACCTAGAAGCAGAGGTACTGGATCGTAGGGTTGTCGTGACCACCCCCAACTGTCACCACCACTCGAACACACTTACTAGATTTTACACCTATATATAAAATATTAGTTCCAGCATCTCAAATGCAAAGTGTTTGGTACTCACCTAGGAGTATTCAATACTTACTCTTAGTTAGGCTTCTTTGATAGTTATTTGCCCCTTAGGACTCCAAGTGTGGTGATAAAACAACCCAATATGTTTTCTGCCAGAAGCGGTTTTCTTAAGCTTGGGTACACATCAAGAAAGATGTTCAGAAGCTTATCAGTAAGCCAAAAACTGTGAAAGAAGTGTTATTTTTAGATTCTTGGAATTGTTTAGATTCTTGGAATTTTTAAAAGAATCTGACTTAGTATTAGTTTGCGTGTTTTAGGCTGTGGGCAGCCTAGGCAAGTAGAAAAGCAGAGAATCTCAACAGTATCCTGTATAATCCTGGAGCTTGTTGACTGTTTTCACATCCCTGTGACAGGTGACAGTTCGTGATGCTATAAATCAAGGTATGGATGAGGAGCTGGAGAGAGATGAGAGGGTATTTCTGCTTGGGGAAGAAGTGGCCCAATACGATGGGGCGTACAAGGTAACCAAAACGGTGGAAGTTACACAGAATCGAGGCGGCTGTTTGCTCTGACGTATGTGTAAGAGTAACGGGGCAACTCTAAACTGTAGGTTAGCCGAGGCCTGTGGAAGAAGTACGGAGACAAGAGGATCATAGACACGCCCATATCCGAGGTAAGCTCCCAGCGGGAAGCCGGACTTCGAGGGGCTTATCTGTCGGTGTTGACAGTCCTAGTTTTTGTGGCTTTTCACTCATGCTTCCGTTGTACTTTATAGATGGGCTTTGCTGGAATTGCTGTGGGTGCAGCTATGGTATGTAACATTCTTTATGAAGAGATTTCTTTACATATGACCTTTTAAAAACGTTGGGCGTTGGAGGAATGGAGTGGCTGCTGGTCACTCTCTGTTGCTGTCCGGTTTTTTTAGCATCCGTGTTTTTTACTTGACAGGCTGGCTTGCGGCCCATTTGTGAATTTATGACCTTCAATTTCTCTATGCAAGCCATTGACCAGGTTATAAATTCGGCTGCCAAGACCTACTACATGTCGGCGGGCCTCCAGCCCGTGCCCATCGTCTTCAGGGGGCCCAACGGCGCCTCGGCAGGTGTAGCTGCCCAGCACTCACAGTGCTTTGCTGCCTGGTATGGGCACTGCCCTGGCTTGAAGGTGGTCAGCCCCTGGAATTCAGAGGATGCTAAAGGACTTATTAAGTCAGCCATCCGGGATAACAACCCAGGTAAGCAGCGTGACTCGAGTCTCTTCTGAACATAAAAACTGGTCAGTCTTCGTGTAGACCGAGCACAGTGAGCGAGCGCTGTCCTGGGCGGGGCCTGAGCTGCAGCAGGCGAGGGACGGACATTCATGGCGAATAGAACAGCTCTTCTCCGCCACTTTCTTCTCCACCCCACCCTTCAGTGGTGGGTGCAAGGCAGGGGTGCGGACTCCGGCCTGACCTCGCTCCCCTCCCCTCCCCTCGGCCTTGTGGCGTGGGGCTGGGGTCTTCTGATGTGGATACCCCTTGCTCACCCTTATGATGGCTATACCATATGGGGAGGGCACCCCGCCACTGTGCCGTGCATCCGCCCTGTGTGTGTGAGCATGCCTCAGACTTCTGTGGTATGGGTAATGGAAGCACAATAGGCTTCCATTAGGTCTAGACATACAAAATGATGATGGTATACAGATACAGTAAAGATAGTAAAGAATGTGCTTGTTTTTCTTATTTCTGACTATAATGAGGCCAGTTAGGTAAAGCAGACGTTTACGGACACCCACCACACTGGCTTAACCTCAATAGGTGAAGTTAAGTCAGTGAAACTACAAAGAGTAAGTACCTAGAACAGTGATGGCGAACCTTTCAGAGCTTTCAGTGATAACAGACAGCAGGCTGCAGCATGTGTGCAATAGGTTCACTACCATTGACCTGAACCATCCTTAAGCTACTGGACGTGATAGAAATAAGGCTTTTTGCCAGGCATGATGGTGCATGCCTGTAATCTCAGCACTCCCAGTACTCAGGAGGCTGAGGCAGGAGGAGCACTGCAAGTTCAAGGCCAGCCTGGGCTGCAAAGTGAGTTCAAGGCCAACCCGAACTGCGTAGCAAAACCCTGTTGCAAAAGGACCAAAAAAGAAAAGAAATAAGGCTTCCTAATGAACACAGTATAACTGTTCACAAGCGGAATATTGTTGTATTACGTGTTTTTAGACATTCTACATGTGCTAATTTGCTTAAATGTAATATTTTGCAGTGGTGGTACTAGAGAATGAACTGATGTACGGAGTTCCTTTTGAATTTCCTGCAGAAGCTCAGTCGAAAGATTTTCTGGTTCCTATTGGAAAAGCCAAAATAGAAAGGCAAGGTAAGAGAACCTTAGTGTACATTTAGCTATTACTTTAAGTCTAGCGCCTCTGTTTATATAGGTCATGTTTAATCTAGAAGTTACTGCCATTTACTTTGGCTAAAAATTAAAGGTTGAGCTCAGAGGTCGAAGCCAGGCTTGATGGTGTGTGCCTGTAATCTCAGTACAGAGGCAGGAGGGTCACAGGCTCATCTCAGTCCAGTAGATTGGAATCTCCTCTCTAGGCAGGGGGCCACTCTGGCTGCTGAGTGGTGTTGCGTCTTTGTTTCAAACCTGACCTCCGACGTGTGACCTCTGTTTTCAGGGACCCATATAACTGTGGTTTCCCATTCAAGACCTGTGGGCCATTGCTTAGAAGCTGCAGCAGTGCTGTCTAAAGAAGGAGTTGAATGTGAAGTGAGTAGACTTTTCACTTGCTCTTAATCAAAATAAGGTCCGAAAACAGGGAGTTCTGTCACAATGGGTTTTTGTTGTTGTTGTTTTCTTTGGTCTTTTGAGACAGGGTCTTGCTATATAGTTTAGGCTGCCCCTGAACTAACTATATAACTCTGGCTGGCCTCAAATTTGCAGGATTCCTCCCTCCTCAGCCTCCTGTGTTGGGATTACAGGCGTGCACCACCATGCTCAGCTTTCTTTGTTTTTTTTGAGGCAGTGTTTCACTGTGCAGTTCAGGGTGGCCTTGAACTCAGTTAAATTTGCGGTGATCCTCCTGCCTCATCCCCACCCCCACCCCAGTGCTGGGATTACAGGTGTGCACCATGTACCGCTCATAACGGTTTAACCAGATGTAAAATCGTGCTTTATCACTCAGTTCTACCTCTGCTTAAAGCTGAAAACTGCTAAGGTTTTCGCACCTTTACCTTAGCTTTTTACCACTTAGATTTTAGATCTTCTAGAACAGTACCTGCTTTCTCAAGTTAAGATCCAACATTGGAGCTGGACTTGAGGAAAACTTGAGATTTTTTGTGATTCTAGTTACATGTGGTTGTGTACGCCTATAATCCCAAGACTTTGGGAGGCTGAGGCAGGAGAATTGCAAGTTCACGACCAGCCTGGGCAATTTAGTGAGGTCCTGCCTCAAATTAAAAACAGGCTGGGGATGGGGCCTGGGTACAATCCCCAGTACCACCAAAAAAAAAAAAGATTCTGACCTTCTGATAGGACCTACCAGTTGCTGGTTATACTTGAGCAAGTCAGGCACTCTGATTGTGTTTCATCAGTGATAAAGTAAGGATAATAGAAATACTAACCCAGTAGTGTAGTTGTGAGGATTAGTGCTTAGTGAACCGCCTGGTACACACTAAGCACTGCTATTGGCTCATTTATGTTTTGATAAGAGGGAAGTCGAAGCCAGGAAGAATAAATGAATCTTATTAATGAAGAGTTGCTTATAGTAGGGGTAGATATCGTTTTAAGCTGTTTCTCCTTATATATTTTGTAGACTCATATACCTGTCAATAGGCACATTAGATTTTCCTGTATCCAAAGATGAATAAGAAACAAACAAGAGAAGTAGTGTTATGTAATAAGGCCAAGGAGAAGTGTGTTGTGGCATCAGGGCTGTGTTTGTGCTACAGTGGTTCTGTAGAGCTTGCTTCATTGTCTGTCCAGGTGATAAATCTGCGTACCATTAGGCCAATGGACATTGAAACCATAGAAGCCAGTGTCATGAAGACGAACCATCTCGTGACTGTGGAAGGAGGTTGGCCACAGTTTGGAGTAGGAGCTGAAATTTGTGCCAGGATCATGGAAGGTATTTCAAAAATACTGCTTCTAGAGGATACTCAAGCTTTAATAAACACTGTGTAGCTGGATCCACACTAGAGGGATAGATTCAAACCAGGGGTGACCAGTTGACTTCATCTTTTGACTTGGCAGGTTGGCATTTTCTCCTTTGGGCAAACGATTTAAAACACAAAACCAGAAAGGAATCCCCATGACTAGTTTCTTTACCACGTGCTTTCTCTTCCTGGGTGTTCACTTCTCTGCCAGGGTAGTGGGTGCAGCTGCGCTCCTTGGCCCTCTCTCAGGTGAGCGTCCTTCTCTTCTAGGCCCTGCGTTCAATTTCCTTGATGCTCCTGCTGTTCGTGTCACTGGTGCTGATGTCCCTATGCCTTATGCAAAAATTCTAGAAGATAACTCTGTGCCTCAGGTCAAAGATATCATATTTGCAATAAAGAAAACATTAAATATCTAGTTCAGGCTGGAACATCAAGTTATTGAAATTTACTTAAAATGCTCGCTTGGACTTCTCCTGGATTGGACTGCAAGATCTTACTGCTCATAAAGTAATCTGTAAGACAACGATAGATATTTTTATACCAGTGAAAAGCTGAAGTGTGTTTGAGTGTTAAATTCTGCGCTCCTGGACCAGACTCCATACTTTGTCTGTTACAGTTGCCCTGTTCTTTGAAATAAGACTGATACAAAAGGACAGGATCCTGATGAAAGACACAGCCAGATGATAACTTATATGTATAAAAGACATTGTATAAACTTAACTGTGTTTTGATAAATAAAGGAATTCATGACTAACTTTTATATTCATGAAATAATAAATATGGGCAGAAGTCTTTAAATTCTGTTAAGAAATTAGTGTCAGATGGAGAATAAGGTGATCATGTATAAACAATTGCTTGATTTCTTTCTTTCTGTGATGCTGGGGATCAAACCCAGGGCCTTATATGTGTTAGTAAGCGCTCTACTACCGAGCTACATTCCCAGCCCTCCTCTGCTTTTTTTTTTTTCCAGTACCGGGAATTGAACTCACGACATCGCGCTTGTCAGGCAGGCGCTGTGCCACTGAGCTAAATCCCCAGCCCCCTCCCCTGCTTGTTTTTATCCATGTATCTGGAACTTTATCCAAAATAGCCAAGCTGACTGCAGGACTCAGGCCTACAACTTCCATCAGGAACTGAGCACCTAGAGCACATCACACTTAGCATGAGAACTTGTCCACACTTCACATGCCCAGAATTCCCTTTGAAATGAACGCATTTCTTTCCTCTTGCCAAAACATTTTATATACTGTCCATACACTTCAGATAAAAGATTTAAATGAATCACAGAATCATATAGGTAGTATCTAAATAGTAAGATAGGCTTGTTAGTGTGTATTAAGTGGGAAATATGGACAAAACAAAATATGAATGCTGTATGAATCTACGTTTACATAAGGTGAAATGGAAAGTTCTCATTTGAAATATCTACAAACAACATGTTTCTTGATGTTTATTTTAATAAAAAATACAGCTGGACATTTATCACAGATTACATGAAACTGTACACAATAACATTCTCTCTGCATAGTAACCAACACTGATGTGTGTACTTGAATTTTAAAATGGATTATTTATAATCCTTTAAAGTGCAATTTATATTAAGTTTAAGCAAATCATAGGATAAAAGATATTTCTAATAAATGAGTAACATTAAAAAGATGATGTATTTGGATAAATCTTTCAAATATCAGAATTGACTTCTAAATGCCAAATTCACTTGTGTTGTGGTAATGATCAGCCCAAACCCCAAACTTGACAGTTGGTGAAGATTTAACATCTTTTAACCTGCAGGAACTTTTAGTGATCATATTTTGTTGCCTCTTTCAATATATCCTAAGTAAAAAGAAGTATGGATTCATAGTAGTTGTTCTTGCAGCCCTGAGTTCGGTGGTCGTAAAGAGATTCCTGACAGAACTCGAGACTCGTGGAGACCCCCCCGCCCCTCAAATGTGAGGGGAAAACGTACTCAGTTGGTTCTCTCACACAGCAACGTAACTATGCTTTGGGCTACAGCATTAATGTCTGAGGCAAAATAAAGGTAGCAGAAATGAGTTATCTAAGGAATGCCCAGAAAATGCTTCAGGAAAATGAGGAACATTTCTGATGGGGTAGGAAGGACTACAGCACAAAGGCCATCTACTGCTGCGACGAGATACTGTCACTGCTTCTGCTTCTGTTTCCTTTCGTTGGTGAAAATACTGATTTGGACATGCCGCCCCAAAAAGACACCCATGAGAGGATGGCCAAGGCTCCTTCCCAGTGCTGCAAAGGAGCAGAGCGCTTCTAAGGCAGCAGCGCTGGCCCAGCTTTATTCTATGCGTAGGATCCTGCCCTCTTGAGAGCCCCTCCTGGAGCGTATGCAGAACGGCACTGGCAGTGCTGGCTCCCCAGGGCTCAGCCAGCAACGGGGTTTCAGGCTGGGAGTAGGGCAGAAGGGACTTTTCCTTCCCGGTGTAAACAGGAACTTAGCCAATCTTAGGAGCACTGTGGTCACAGGTTTCAGCTTTTCTCAGAGTTCCCTTTTGGAAATTCTGGATGGAGCTGAGCAAAGCCCCTCGGCTCACACCGTTCACACCTTGGACGGAGAGCTGTGCAGGCGCCTCTGTGCTCACCGGAGGCGCGGGGGCTGCTGCGGGCAGAGGTGGCGGTGGCGGCGGCGGTGGAGGTACTGCACACGGCCCTGTGGGGGAGAGGAAAGGGACAGTCGTCAGCCACCTCACCACGGCACACTGCTGCCCTCAGCCCTGGGTAGGATGGACCTTTCGGAGACTGCAGATGTTCTCAGAGGGACCAAGATACACAGGATGGTATCAGTGTTGAAAATACTGAACGCAAATACTAGAAGCAACAGAGGGGAATTAAAGGTTGCTGTTTCCTTGTTACTTGACAGTCATATGAGAAAAGATGGGATAAATGCCACAAACAACATGAAGCCACACACGGTGACAGGAGACTGGCCTCATTTCCAAATTTCAGGAAGAGTTCCATCAGCTCCTTCAGCTAGGTCCCAGGCAGGTTTCCCTGCTCCTGCGCTAGCAGGTGAAGACACACATCTATACTGTGCTGGGCCATTCGGATGTCACTCACTCAAAAAGGGTAGACACTCCAAACTTGAAAGAAGTGATTTAATTTAGCGACAAACCACTCAACATTCTTGGCAAGAACCAGTGCCAGGAGTGTTTTGGTCACTGCCTATTAGGTTGGACTATAGAAATACAAAATGCTAACAGCCATGAGGAACACAAAGCTGGGACTTAAAGTGGCCTCTGCCCGGGGATGGTGTTCTTAGGGAGGAGTCCTGCTGAAGTTTGTCCTTTGCCATTGCCCATCTGAGGAACAGAATGGAACTGCACCGCATGCGCAGAAGCATCAAGAGAACTAGAATTTAGAGCTTTATCCTACGGGGCAAAGGGAAAGGAAGTAGACAGGTATCTAATACTTCCTCAGCTCCAGGCATAGGGACATTTGCTTGCTGGTTTTTTTTTTTGGTGGCGGTGGTATGGAGAATTGAACCCAGGGGCACATGCATGCTAGGCAAGCACTCTGTTACAACTGAGCTATCCTCCCATTCATGCACTCATTTCACAGGGTCTGGCTGTGTGGTCCCAGCTGGCCTTGAACTTGCTGCAATTCTCCCGCCTCATCTTCCTTGTGCTAGGGTAATAAGCATGAACCACATTCCTGGCCCAGCCCTTCCTTTTTGAGACACATCTCCAAGTTGCCTAGGCTGGGCTTAAAATTGAGATCTTCCTGCCTCAGCCTGAATTTTTATTTCTGAATCAATGACTTAATTTTCTCTCAAAACAAAATACGTACAGCAACAGCCCAGCCTTGCAGGACTTTGTGCAGCTGGTACCTGTCCTATCTCCTGTGAACTTTGCAGCTCTGAGACTCTGCTGTCTGTGGCTGTCACTACCCTCCAGCATCCCCGGGTGACACTGGGGAGCTGTTCCCAGGTGGTTCCCCACACTGCGGCGAGAGCAGATGGACAGCCAGCACCACTGAAACAGGTGGAGGTGTGACGCAGGATCACAGTGAGAGGGTACATCCCTTCTGCCGAGTGTGACAGGCAAAAGCCAGTCTCACAGTTCACAGAAAACTACTTACCTTCTTTTGTATCTTTTACCCCAACCTAAAGTAGCTGAAATTAAAGAATCACACAAATGTACACACATGCTCTGCAATCTTGGAATTCTCAAAAAATGATAATCTAGCAAAATTAAGTACAGGCAGATGAACAAAATGTCACTTTCACTGGCTGTAGTCAGTAATGACTAATGAATGAAGCAGTTACGCTCTGTGCTGGGATGGAGTGTGAGACGCGTGTTCCTAACTTTAAAGTCACATGATTATAAAGATAAAATGACTGGACCGGAAGTGAGTGCTGAGGTGGGAAGCCCAGGTGGGATGAGTGTGTGATGGAGGCATCCTCTGGAAAGACGTCTTGGGTTGTGACCAGAGAAGGGAGTGTCGGGGGAGCCTCCGCCGAAGCTCTGCGAACTGAGGGCCAAGGCACTCTCGCCCGGCGGCCAGAAGGGGGCAGCAGTACCGGCACTGACCTGCGGGGTCAGCCTGACAGCCAGGACAGCCAGGGTTTCCTTCCCCCAGCTTGGCACTCCGAGCCCTGGTTGAAGAGCCCACTAACGGCCCCCAACTGGCCACCTGGAGACTGCTATCCCTCCGACCCAGAAGGCTGGGCAGCTGGAGCAGGCCCCAGGGCTGGGCTCAGGGAATGGCAGCCTCTTGCCATAGCGTGAAAGTGCGTGGCCCCACAGGGAACCAACCCCCACCTTCGTTCTCACCGCCAAGCACTTGATATGCACAGTGCGAAGGTCCTGTCAGTGCGGGGAGCTGTGGGTGGGGTTCAGGAATTGGATCTTCATTGTCCAAGTAAAGGCTGAAATGTGCCACTTAATCGCTCTGCAAATGCAGGGAGCGTAGACACGCTGTGTGCCGTGCTGGGGGTGCAGGGGCTGTGGCCTATGCCTACGTGGCAAAGGGACACTGAGGGCTGTGGAACGGACAGCTGCGCACCGCGGAGAAGAGTGAGGTCCACTGATGTCTCCTCTGCTCACAGGCGGGCACGGCCACACTCGGGACATCAGGCCCACTTTTCCTGCCAGGCCTGGGAGACTTATGGAGACCCTGACGTGCAGCCAGGGCAAACAAGGCCAACGCCCACCTGCCAGTGCGAAGCACCCTGCAAGGGGAAGGGAGGCCCAGCAGTCAGAGGGCCAGACCGGGAGGCGGCAGGAACACAGCACCTGAATACAGAAGATACACACGCATTGTCTCTGCCGTTCCTCTTGCCTTTTCATGGTCCACAAGCTTCCTTTAAAGGTCCGCTGAGACTTAAACACACTGGTAACAATGGCAGGGCTGGGTGGGGTACAGGGACCAAAGGGCAAACCTGGGAACGACTGTGTGAGGCCTGTACTCCCTGTACACCTAAACCACAGAGGCTCCTCCCGCCAAGAGGGTTCCCAGGCTTATCCCCGGGCGCAGAGAGCAGGCAGGTTCCATGTGAACTCGCATCTGGGATGGAGGGCCTTCCAAAATAGCTTACGTGCAGTTATGGCCATCAGTCCTAATCTCTCCCTTCTCACCTGCTCTTAGACAAAAATCTTCCCTTCCCTACTCTCCCCTTCCCTAAGTCTTTCCCACCAAATCCAACTGGAACCCGGCAACGTGGTAGAGGCCTCGGAGCAGGACAAAGCCTGCTACAGCCAACAGTGTACATTAGGTCCGAGGAGGAAGGCCGTGCCGCAACATCCCTAACAGCTTCCTGGGAAGGACACCCGAGAATCCCATCCTTAGGCCCGTGTTAGCAACAGTCAGTAAATGCACTGTTCTCTACAGCTCTGAGTTCCTTTGCGCTCTAGACACTTAAGTGGGAAGGTCAGGGGGCCACCAGGCCATACTAGAGCCACACCAGACCTACCCACTACTCTGCAGAGGGAACAGTGAGCTGTGATCTCCCCCAACACACACCGCAGCCCTGCAGCCCTTGACCACCTTCACTTTGGCCTCAGGGAGACCAGGGCTGCACTCATGTCCCATGAAGCTGTGAGAATGCGTAAGAACTAGTTTTCCCATCCTGTTATAAAAGCCAGTCTCCACAGGACCAGAACACTCAACAGCTTAACACTTTTGCCTCTACATTAGGACGAGGAACCAGCCTTTTTGCAGCAACAGGACTTTGTTTTCCAAAATTAAAATACACCAAAATGCCATGCAGTTGATTTGTGGGTTTAGTGCTGTATTTTAAACAAAAATCAGAGTGAAAATGAAGATTTCTGAAGGTCATGATGGAAATGAAATGAATATATGGTGCTTTTTAAAGATGCTGTATTTCATTCAGATGTTCAGGTAAGGAAATAGCCTCAGATCTGTTTTCCCACGTGTTCATCACCTCAGTGATCTAGAAGTACTGGGTCCTATTTGTCATACAGAAACACAGCATCTCTAAAGTTAGAGAAAAATCAGCATCGCTTACTTTACCGAAAATTCACGGTCAAAATGGTGCATGCTCTACTGAAGACAGCAAAGAGAAAGAGAGAAAGGGACACAAGTCATTATTCAGGTCTTAGTGTCATTTAATCAAACAGTAACAGACAGTAAAGTATTAGTCTGAATCACAAGCTAATTATTCTCAACGCGAAATGCCCTGGTTTATAAACATGACACGACCCTTTAAACCTGTTCACAACGGGGCTGTCGTTTGTCTTGCTGCTGGGGGCTCTGAACCACCCGCAGTCCACGTGCAGCTGCCCGTGCTGCCTGATGGCACACTCGTGCATGGACCACGGGTCATTCAGAGCCACAGGAACATGTTAAACATGGCAAACACACTACTAGAGCAACCAGCGCGTCACATCCCTCTCCACGTTCCTCCCTGGACCAGCTAGGTACCGTTTCCATTGATCTAGAGGCACAACATTCACTTCAGAAAGCACCTTGGGGGTCTCCCTTCCCTTGGAGAGCACAACGGACGTCTCCAGGGTGCTTCGTTCTACTACAAAACATGGACAGTGTATTAAAAGGGGAAGGAAAGGTTGAGGCAGGCAAAGTGAGGGGAAGGGGATAAGAAGAGAACTGAAAGAAAAGGAGAGGGGTAAGGAAAACCCAAACGTTTTTTCAAGCAAGGCTTCTACTGTCTAGAATAGAGACTTAGCAGTTTAGAGTTGGGAAGAGCAAAAGCACAGAGCAGGTCTGAGGTGGAGCCACCCTCCACCCAGGGCATGGCAGCCGCTTAACAAGAAAATGTAAGACGAATAACTGTTTTTCATGCTTTCTTTTAAAGTGATTAGCAGACTTCAAGTTACACATGAAGGACAATGCTTTTCCAGCTCGAGAGTCCCAGAGTTCCTACTCCCCACTGCCTGGGGGAAGGTCCCACCCCGGCGGCGAGGTGAGGCAGGGCAGTGTGACCACTCACACTGGGGGC